CTATCTATCTATCCATCCCTCCATCCATCCTTCCATCTCTCCCTCTGTCCATCCATCCATCCATCCATCCATCCATCCATCCATCCATCCATCCATCCATCCATCCTTCCATCTATCTATCCACCCCTCCATCCATCCTTCCATCTCTCCCTCTGTCCATCCATGCACCCATCCCTCCATCCACCCCTCCATCCAGCCACCCCTCCATCCATCCTTCCATCTATCTATCCATCCCTCCCTCCATCCATCCTTCCTTCCTTCCATCTATCTATCTACCCCTCCATCCATCTATCCATTCCTCCATCCACACCTCCATTCATCCATCCACCCTCCATCCATCCTTCCATCTATCTATCCACCCCTCCATACATCCATCCTTCCATCTATATATCCACCCCTCCATCCATCCTTCCATCTATCTATCCACCCCTCCATCCATCCTTCCATTTATCCATCCACCCCTCCATCCACCCCTCCATCCATCCTTCCATCTATCTATCCACCCCTCCATCCATCCTTCCATTTATCCATCCACCCCTCCATCCACCCCTCCATCCATCCTTCTATCTATCCATCCATCCCTCCATCCATCCTTCCATCTATCCATCCACCCCTCCATCCATCCTTCCATCTATCTATCCATCCCTCCATCCATCTCTGTATAGCGTGTGTGTCTAGCCTTAGCGAAGCCCACCCTGTCCTGTCCCCGGTCATAGATGCTATAGAATTCAGAGAGGAACACGTCCCCTAGGATCCACAGAGGATCCACCGAGGAGGGCAGATCATCCGCCTGGAACCCACTGAAACAGATCTCACGATCACCCATCAGCTCCTGAAGAGAGGGAGGGAGGGAGGGAGAAGGAGAGAGAAGGAGGGAGAGAGGGAGTGTGTCAGAAATATGACAACAATCAAAACAATCACTCATCAAATACTGTGTTTTTCGACACAGGCCTACCGAAGGACACAAATAATGTATATTTATACTTTATATTTATAATTTATACTAAAATGATTGTCACACACAAGTTAAAATATATACTGTAAAAGTATGCATGCCGAAATATCTAAATATCTCACTTGTCATGTTCATTCACTGTATGTTGGACCAGTACCCACCCTTCTGACGTAGGACTCAGCAGTGAGCACGTATTCCACCCCGTTGAGCACGATGGTCACCTGGGGCAGGCTGGAGAGCCGGGCGCAGTCAATCAGGTACTGCAACACATCATCTTCATTGAAAAGCATTGAAGAGATTTGGATCTTCAGTGTACTTCCTGAATCAACTGGAATTGAGCCTCCTGCACCCCCTGTTACTCTACGGAGCCAGGGTTGGTGACTGGCATGTTATGGGGCATGCCTCTTCACTGGAGGTGGGGGTAGCTCCTATCTGCTGGTGTAGTAGTAGTAGTAGTAGTAGTAGTAGTAGTAGTAGTAGTAGTAGTGGCAGTAGTAGTAGTAGTAGTAGTAGTAGCAGTAGTAGTATTAGTAGTAATAGTAGTAGTAGTAGTAGCAGTAGTAGTAGTAGTAGTAGTAGTAGTAGTAGTAGCAGTAGTAGTAGTAGTAGTACGTAGTAGTATTGCATAGTAGTAGCGTAGTAGTAGGCAGCAGTAGTAGTAGTAGTAGTAGTAGCAGTAGTAGTAGCAGTAAGTATAGTAGCAGTAGTAGTAGCAGCAGTGTAGTAGTAGTATAGTAGTAGCAGTAGTAGTAGCAGTAGTAGTAGTAGTAAGTAGTAAGAGCAGTAGTAGTAGTAGCAGTAGTAGTAGTAGTAGTAAGTAGTAGTAGTAGTAGTAGCAAGTAGTAGTAGTAGTAGTGTAGTAGTACGTAGTAGTAGCAGTAGTTGAGTAGTAGTAGTGTAGTAGCAAGTAAGTAGTAGATAGTGTAGTAGCAGTAGTATGTAGTAGCAGTATAGTAGTAGCATTGTAGTAGTACTAGCAGTAGTAGTAGTAGTAGTAGTCAGTAGTAGTAGAGTAGTAGTAGTAGTAGTAGTAGTAGCAGTAGTAAGTAGTAGTAGCAGTAGTAGTAAGTAGCAGTAGTATAGTAGATAGTAGTAGTAGCAGTAGTAGTAAGTAGTAGTAGTAGTAGTATAGTAGTAGAGTAGTAGTGTAGTTAGTGCAGTAGTAGTAGCATAGTAGTAGCAGTAGTAGTAGTAGTCAGTAGTAGCTAGTAGTCAGTAGTAGTAGTAGCAGTAGAGATAGTATAGTACTAGTAGTAGTATCAGTAGTAGTAGTAGCAGTAGTAGTAGTAGTAGTAGTAGCAGTTAGTAGTAGCAGTAGTAGTAGTGTAGAGTAGTTAGTAGCAGTATGTAGTAGCAGTAGTAGTAGCAGTAGTAGTAGTAGAGTAGCAGTAGTAGTAGCAGTAGTAAGTAGTAGTAGTAGTAGCAGTAGTATAGTAAGTAGTAGGTAGTAGAGTAGTAGTAGTAGTAGTATAGTATAGTATAAGTAGATAGCAGGTAGTAGATAGTAGATAAGTAGTAGTAGTCAGTAGCAGTAGTAGTAGTATATAAGTAGTAGTAGTAGAGTATGTAAGTGATGTATAGTAGCTAGTAGTAGTAGTAGTAGTAGTATAGTAGTAGCAGTAGTAGTAGTAGCAGTAGTAGTAGTAGATCAGTAGTAGTATAGTAGTACAGTAGTAGAGTAGTAGTAGTAGCAGTAGTAGTAGTAGTAGTAGTAGCAGTAGTAGTAGCAGTAGTAGTATTAGTAGTAGTAGTAGCATGTAGTAGTAGCAGTAGTAGTAGTAGTAGTAGTAGTAGCAGTAGCAGTAGTAGTAAGTAGTGTCAGTAAGTAGTAGCAGTAGTATGTAGTAGTATAGTAGTAGTAGCAGTAGTATGTAGCAGTAGTAGCAGTATAGTAGTAGTAGTAGTAGTAGTAGTAGTAGCATGTAGTGTAGTAGTAGTGTAGTATAGTAGTAGTAGTAGTCAGTAGTAGTAGTGAGTATGTAGAGTAGTAGTAGTAGTAGCAGTAGTAGTGCAGTAGTAGTAGTAGTAGTAGTAGTAGTAGTAGTAAGCTGTGTAGTAGTAGTAGTAGTACTAGTAGTAGTAGTAGTAGTAGTAGTAGTAGTATTATATGTAGTCAGTAAGTAGTAGTAGGAGTATACAGTATAGTAGTAGCATAGTAATAGTAGTAGTAGCAGTAGTAGTAGTAGTAGTAGTAGTAGTAGTAGTAGTAGTAGTAGTAGTAGTAGTAGTAGTATATAACTTGGTCATACCTCTCCAATGGAGGTGGGGGTAGCTCCTATCAGCTGTTGCAGAGCGAGGATGTCATGGGTAGGGCCGATGATGAGAGAGGTGCCTGTATCAATGATAGCCTGACAGCCACGGGGACAGAAAGACGAGGCACCCTGGACCTGCAAACTGCAGTGGAAGAGGTGTAGCAAAACATGTGTTCAGAACAGCAGGGAGATTGCCTTTTTGAATAATTAAATCTCCAATTTGGCTGTCATTTTGTCCTACTATGATACAGCAACAGGGTGAGACTTAAGGGACTTTTCTGACCAGCATCCCATTGACTTCCCGACTAGCCAAAATCTAAAACGGACCCTTACCCTAACCTTAACCTTAACCAAACCCTTAACCCTGACTCTAACCTAATTTTAATCAATTCTAAAATGTAATATCGGTTTGCACGTCACCCACGTCCCCTTAGTTTTCCCCACAGCGTCACAATTGAAATCAGGGACAAATTCCACCATTTCCCCACTAGATGGCAGGACAGCACAATATTCTCATTTTTTCTCAGTAATCTGAAATGATCAAACAGTTGCCTCACTCTTGTAGGCAGCCGTACTACTACATACATTAACTGTGGATATGTCCCCCCCAGTTTGACAGTGGGAAAACATGATAGGAGTTGTCCTAGTTCTGACCTGGCCATCTGGATCTGCCAGTAGCTCTTCAGGGTGACAGGGTTCCAGTTGATGGGTCCACTGTAGAGAGCCTCATCCATCCCCCCCAGCAGCAGCTCTCCCTCAGGGTCCCCTGATCTTTTACTCCTGGAAGCAGAAGCAATCAAATCGTGATGGGTGAATGGATCAATTCTGCTCCACTTGTTTCTGGGGACACCATAGACAAAATTAATAATTTGACCAAATATTTAAGAAGAGGCCAACATTTCATGGAGTCTGTAAAAGGAAGAAAAGTGGTGAGAAAATTAGGTCCAAAAAACTGATTTTCACCAAGTCAAATGTATGAACTGCCTTAATTTGGCTGGACCCCAGGATGGGGATCCATAATAAATACAAATACAAAATTAATTTATTGTGTTAAGAGGTTTTATGATAATTGTATCTAAACCAAAGTAGCTAATTTTAAGATTGTTCTATACATCAGTTGGGGTCTCCAAAAACTTCAAATCTAGCATGAAAGTATATCCTCGTAGCTGCGTGGGCTATATTATAGTCAAAATGTTTGCTTTGGGGTAAGTTGAGCCAGTGGCAATGGGGTAAGTTGAGCCAATAGGAAGTTGAGCAAAATGAAAAGTAACCGAAATGTTGTTGGTTTGAATCCCCGAGTTGACTAGGTGATTTTTTTTTGATGTGCCCTTGAGCAAGGCACTTAACTCTAATTGCTCCTGTAACTCGCTCTGGATAAGAGTGTCTGTTTAATGACTGAGCTGAAAAATGTACCCCATGTGCCAAGAGACAAGCTATGTTTTCAAAACTGTAATGTTTACATGAATTCAGATTATTTCCAGGGATACACAACATCCTGAAATATATGTAGATATCTTTGTTAGAAATAATACTAGATTTCCCTTGACGGAGTGATGCTGAATGTAGAAAACGTCTCAACCTACCCCACTCTCCCTGATCATCATATCGTCATCAAGCATTAGCCTACAGTATCCTGTAGGTCTGTGTGTCTGGGTAGTGTACTTCACCACCATAATCATCATCATCATCATCATAATCAATAACAACATCATGATGGGTAGACAGACAGATGGATTCTCTGTGGTCCTGTACCTACTTGCTGAGATAGAAGGAGAAGATGGGTTGGTCCACAGCCTTCTGGTTCATGATGCTGTCGAACACGGGGTTCCCCAGTTCCTCGGCCAGGGAGGGGTACCCCAAACCCAGCACCCCGTCAAACTTAGCCATGACAAACACAAAACCTGGCTCGTACACCGACTCCCCAAACTCCTGGTTTAGCACCGTCACCGGGCCTATCTGGACAACCACAGGGACGTGTCAGGTGTATGAATTAATGTGTATATATATGCAAAGGCCTTTCAGGAATCTGACATGTCATCCCACACCTGATTCATTTGTGAAAGTCGCATTGTATATGGGTTGCTGTAATTCTAGCCACGACTCAATCTTTTCAAAACATTTCAACCTTTTAAAAGAAAACAAAATCAACAGTAAACATGTCTTCCCCCCACAAATGATGCATCCCCCCCCCTTGGGCCGACTGACGTATCGCGTGTGATTAACCCATTTCAGTTCATTATTATAAGCTCACCCCTTGGGCCAATCAGTGTCATTTAGTAAATGCCGGATCTCTATGGCAAGACGCGTCATCCACCCAAGTTTAGTTAAAATCGGGCCAGTGGTGTCTGAGATATCGCGTGTGATTTAATGTACGAATGGAGACAAATCCACAGTCATCTCCCCGATTTCACTGTGGGGGACAATAAAATACACAATAATGTGTCTTTATACAAAAAGCACCAGTACCAGATCAATGTGCAGGGGTATGAGGTATTTGAGGTAGATATGTACATGAAGGCAGGGTAAAGTGACTAGGCATCAGGATAGATAATAATAAGGTATTTGAGGTAGATATGTACATGAAGGCAGGGTAAAGTGACGAGGCATCAGGATAGATAATAATAAGGTATTTGAGGTAGATATGTACATGAAGGCAGGGTAAAGTGACGAGGCATCAGGATAGATAATAATAAGGTATTTGAGGTAGATATGTACATGAAGGCAGGGTAAAGTGACTAGGCATCAGGATAGATAATAATAAGGTATTTGAGGTAGATATGTACATGAAGGCAGGGTAAAGTGACTAGGCATCAGGATAGATAATAATAAGGTATTTGAGGTAGATATGTAAATGAAGGCAGGGTAAAGTGACTAGGCATCAGGATAGATAATAATAAGGTATATGAGGTAGATATGTACATGAAGGCAGGGTAAAGTGACGAGGCATCAGGATAGATAATTATAATAAGGTATTTGAGGTAGATATGTACATGAAGGCAGGCTAAAGTGACTAGGCATCAGGATAGATAATAATAAGGTATTTGAGGTAGATATGTACATGAAGGCAGGGTAAAGTGACTAGGCATCAGGATAGATAATAATAAGGTATTTGAGGTAGATATGTACATGAAGGCAGGGTAAAGTGACTAGGCATCAGGATAGATAATAATAAGGTATTTGAGGTAGATATGTACATGAAGGCAGGGTAAAGTGACGAGGCATCAGGATAGATAATAATAAGGTATTTGAGGTAGATATGTACATGAAGGCAGGGTAAAGTGACGAGGCATCAGGATAGATAATAATAAGGTATTTGAGGTAGATATGTACATGAAGGCAGGGTAAAGTGACTAGGCATCAGGATAGATAATAATAAGGTATTTGAGGTAGATATGTACATAAAGGCAGGGTAAAGTGACTAGGCATCAGGATAGATAATAATAAGGTATTTGAGGTAGATATGTACATGAAGGCAGGGTAAAGTGACGAGGCATCAGGATAGATAATAATAAGGTATTTGAGGTAGATATGTACATGAAGCCAGGGTAAAGTGACGAGGCATCAGGATAGATAATAATAAGGTATTTGAGGTAGATATGTACATGAAGCCAGGGTAAAGTGACGAGGCATCAGGATAGATAATAATAAGGTATTTGAGGTAGATATGTACATGAAGGCAGGGTAAAGTGACTAGGCATCAGGATAGATAATAATAAGGTATTTGAGGTATATATGTACATGAAGCCAGGGTAAAGTGACCAGGCATCAGGATAGATAATAATAAGGTATTTGAGGTAGATATGTACATGAAGGCAGGGTAAAGTGACGAGGCATCAGGATAGATAATAATGAGGTATTTGAGGTAGATATGTACATAAAGGCAGGGTAAAGTGACGAGGCATCAGGATAGATAATAATAAGGTATTTGAGGTAGATATGTACATGAAGGCAGGGTAAAGTGACTAGGCATCAGGATAGATAATAATAAGGTATTTGAGGTAGATATGTACATGAAGGCAGGGTAAAGTGACTAGGCATCAGGATAGATAATAATAAGGTATTTGAGGTAGATATGTACATGAAGGCAGGGTAAAGTGACTAGGCATCAGGATAGATAATAATAAGGTATTTGAGGTAGATATGTACATGAAGGCAGGGTAAAGTGACTAGGCATCAGGATAGATAATAATAAGGTATTTGAGGTAGATATGTACATGAAGCCAGGGTAAAGTGACTAGGCATCAGGATAGATAATAATAAGGTATTTGAGGTAGATATGTACATGAAGCCAGGGTAAAGTGACGAGGCATCAGGATAGATAATAATAAGGGTAAAAAACAGTAAACAGTAAACATGTAGTCCCCCACAAATGATGCAGCGCCCCCTTTGGGCCAGTCAGTGTAGTGTTGTAAATGATGGATCTCTAGGGCTAGATGCATCATTCACCCAGGTTTCGTTAAAATCGTGCCAGTGCCGTCTGAGATATCGCATATGAGACTAATGTATGAACGGAGACAGATCCACAGTGGGGGACAACGATATCTACCCTCTAATGAGATCATATGTGTTTAATGTAACATATTAGACAATCCACTAGAAGCTAAGCGGGCAGAAACTACACTCCGATTAATTTGGGAACGTGGGCAGTAGAGGGATAGGGGTTGGGGATATTGTGTCACCTTGAGGACGTCCCTTCCCATGATGCCCAGCATGTGTCCCTTGCCGTAGTGGATGCCAAACATCCTGCCGTCGTGGTTGAACGTGCTGGACTCAAAGGCCTTGAACTTGTGGTGCATGCCTGGAGAGAGAGAGAGAGAGGGAGTGGGAGGGAGTGGGAGGGAGTGGGAGGGAGGGAGAGACAGAGGGATAGAGGGAGAAAGCGAGAGAGAGAGAGAGAGAGAGAGAGAGGGGGAGAGAGAGAGAGAGAGAGAGAGAGAGAGAGAGAGAGAGAGAGAGAGAGAGACAGAGAGAGAGAGAGTGAGAGAGAGAGAGAGAGAGAGAGAGAGAGAGAGGGAGTGGGAGGGAGTGGGCGGGAGGGAGAGAGCGGGAGAGACAGAGGGATAGAGGGAGAAAGAGAGAGAGAGAGAGAGAGAGAGAGGAGAGAGAGAGGGGTGGAACACCCTGACCTATAGCCTGCTCTTGTCTGTGTCACACAGTCAGCAGATAAACACTGCTGAGGGGAGAACGGCTCATAATAATGGCTGGAATGGAGCAAATGGAATGGCATCAAACACATGGAAATCATTTGTTTGGTGTATTTGATACCATTCCACCTATTCCGCTCCAGTCATTACCACGAGCCCGTCCTCCCCATTCCACTGATTCCGCTCCAGCCATTACCACGAGCCCGTCCTCCCCATTTAAGGTTCCACCAACCTCCTGTGAGATTGGAATATATTAGTCTGTTTGGAACAGATAATAAAAAGATAGTATGGAGCGGGTATATCTGTTTTATAGCGTGGTCCAGACCCCAAAAAAACGATTATATTAAGCACAGAAATACAAAATGTCCATTTACCCGTAAGTACATGTCAAATGACCTTAATCAATATGGCTCTTTGGTACCATTCGGATAAACATGACTGTTGTAAAATAGTTCCTTCGTCCCCTGGCTGTAGGATCAGTCTGTTAAACCCTGGCTCTGTTATGAAGTCTCACCACAGGCCTCTGAGACGCAGTAAGAGGATGGAACCCACAGGTCAGCTGATCCTGTATCAAACACTACGGTGAAGTTCTGTTCCGGGGTTCCCAGGCTGATCACACCATAGTACTGAGCCTGGGCAATCACACACACAGGGAATACAATGTCATTGGCCCGTTAATGTATTCTGAAATCCATACAGTGTTGATCAACTCTTCGGGAAAAATAGAGGTCTGATTGCCACGTACAGTGACTACATCAAAGTACGTCAGGCGTTTAGATGTTTTTCAATATACTGAACTTATGATTGATTTTTCTTCGCTCCATATAATACATCAAATACCACACCAGATTCCCTTGCTAGGGAAATGCCACAGTTCAATACAGTTATTCACTTCCATTCAGTCCGACTTACATCCATGAAGTTGTAGAGCCTTTCGCTGCTCTTGTCCAGCCTGAGCGAGGGTGTGCCCGGTGGGTAACACTGGGCGTACCTCCGGTTGAACACATCAGGCTGGTGGTCCCTCATGAAGTCCTCCAGGCGATGGGTGGCTCTTAGCTGAGTACGCACAGAGAGCATCCGACGCAGGGGGATCCTGGGTGGAACACACTCAGGTGAGTACGCACAGAGAGCATCCGACGCAGGGGGATCCTGGGTGGATCATACTCAGGTCGGTGGCCATACTGAGGTAGTTTAGATACAGCACACTTGTAGATGCTTCAACTAACTTTTTGGTCTACCAGCAAGTCAGACTTTTGGCTGCTAAAGGTAATGTGTCCCTGTTTGAAAGCCTCCTTCATTCCTCACTTACTTCTAATAATGATTCTAATCAGGGCCGGGCCGGACTATATATATATATTTTGGGGGGTTGGGGGCCCCCTGGAGGTCCGGGGCCCCTGGGCACGTGCCCATTCCGTAATCCAGGCCCTGATTCTAATGCATTACCAAAAGTATTCAACATTTTAAAATACCTTGTGAAGGATCTTTCAGTTCTTACCTGATCACCCCATGTGCAGTCCAGGCACAGCAGAGCAGGGCCAACACCATCCACCTCATCTTGACTGGCGCTGTCTGTCACTGGCTGCTGAAGACCAGACGGTCACTGAACACAGACTGCAGACCCAACAGACTGGCTGTCACTCAACACTGAGAGGAAAAGTAGGAGGTGAAAAGGGGAGAAACTCATTTCCTTGCCTCTTCAAAACCCCATTGGAGGGGGCCAGACCAGAGGGGCGGGACCTCTGCATTCTCATCCAATGGGTTTTGAGAAGGAGGTTCGAGGAGTCAGGGAAATGCAATTGAGATTCTCCAATGGACTTCTGATCCCAGTAAGACCAGCCCTAACACAGCCCAGCATGCCTCTCCAGGGGAAATGACAGTCTGACTGTAAAGGTATGAGGATCTATGTGTTATGCATGTATACGTGCAGGATTGATTGATGCATCCTTGAATGCTTTCAAGCGGGCATTGCACTTCCTTGATTCTGGGTATTTGAGATGGCTGGATTCCCGTATACATAGAAACCCTCATATTAGCCTAAACATCTTTCTAGATAATTTTACTGGACTCTCAGGTTGAGGTGACCGAGACCTGGCAATGGTGTTCACTTTAAATAAATACCAGTGTTTGCTAGAGATCAAAGGGTTAATCAGATAACCCAAAGCAGCTTGGGTAGTACAATGTGTACTGAAGGGATTTTGATGTCAAAGTCAAAAGCATGATCGTCTTCTTGTCATGGTGTTATAATGTTATTGTACATCAATATTCTTAATATAATGTTATAGTACATAAATACTCTTAATATAATGTTATAGTACATCAATACTCTTAATATGTTATAGTACATAAATATTCTTAATTTAATGTTATAGTACATCAATATCCTTAATATGTTATAGTACATCAATACTCTTAATATGTTATAGTACATCAATACAGAAGAAAAAAATTGCAGCCCAAATAAATGCTTCACAGAGTTCAAGTAACAGACACATCTCAACATCAACTGTTCAGAGGAGACTGTGTGAATCAGGCCTTCATGGTCGAATTGCTGCAAAGAAATCACTACTAAAGGACACCAATAAGAAGAAGAGACCTGCTTGGGCTAAGAAACACGAGCAATGGACATTAGACCGGTGGAAATGTGTCCTTTGGTCTGGAGTCCAAATTGGAGATTTGTGGTGCAAACCGCTGTGTCTTTGTGAGATGCAGTGTGGGTGAACGGATGATCGGTAGTTCCCACCGTAAAGCATGGAGGAGGTGGTGTTATGGTGTGGGGTGCTTTGCTGGTGACACTGTCTGTGATTTATTAGAATTCAAGGCACACTTAACCAGCATGGCTACCACAGCATTCTGCAGCGATACGCCATCCCATGTGGTTTAGGCTTAGTGGGACTATCATTTGTTTTTCAACTGGACAATGACCCAACACACCTCCAGGCTGTGTAAGGGCTATTTTACCAAGAAGGAGAGTGATGGAGTGCTGCATAAATAATAATAATAATATAATAATATGCCATTTAGCAGACGCTTTTATCCAAAGCGACTTACAGTCATCAGATGACCTGGCCTCCACTACCCTGACAACCCAATTGAGATGGTTTAGGATGAGTCGGACCGCAGAGTGAAGGAAAAGCAGCCAACAAGTGCTCAGCATATGTGGGAACTCCTTCAAGACTGTTGGAAAATAATTCCAGTTGAAGCTGGTTGAGAGAATGCCAAGAGTGTGCAAAGCTGTCATCAAGGCAAAGGGTGGCTATTTGAAGAATATCAAATATAAAATATATTTTGATTTGTTTAACACTTTTTTGGTTACTACATGATTCCATGTGTTTTTTCAAAGTTTTGATGTCTTCACTATTATTCTACAATGTCAAAAATAGTAAAAAATAAAGAAAAACCCATGTGTAGGTGTGTCCAAACGTTTCACTGGTACAGTATTTACAGTGCATTCAGAAAGTATTCAGACCCCTTGACTTTTTCCACATTGTTACGGCCTTATTCTAAAATTGATTAAATAAAAAATGTCCCTCAATCTACACACAATACCCCATAATGACAAAGCGAAAAAAGGTTTATAGAAATTTATGCAAATGCCTAAAAAAATTAAAACCTGAAATACCTTATTTACATAAGTGTTCAGATCCTTTGCTATGAGACTCGAAATTGAGCTCAAGTGCATCCTGTTTCCAATTACCCAACTTGAGATGTTTCTACAACTTGATTGGAGTCCACCTGTGGTAAATTCAATTGATTGGACATGATTTGGAAAGGCACACGCCTGTCTATATAAGGTCCCACAGTTGACAGTGCGTGTCAGAGCAAAAACCAAGCCATGAGGTCGAGGGAATTGTCCATAGAGCTCCGAGACAGAATTGTGCGGAAGCACAGATCTGGGAAAGGGTACCAAAAAATTTCTGCAGCATTGAAGGTCCCAAGAACACAGTGGCCTCCATCATTCTTAAATGGAAGAAGTTTGGAACCACCAACACTCTTCCTAGAGCTGGCCGCCCGGCCAAAATGAGCAATCGGGGGAGAAGGGCCTTGGTCAGGGAGGTGACCAAGAACCCGATGGTCACTGACAGAGCTCCAGAGTTCCTCTGTGGAGATGGGAGAACCTTCTAGAAGGACAACAATCTCTTCAGTACTCCACCAATCAGGCCTTTATGGTAAGAGTGGCCAGACGGAAGCCACTCCTCAGTAAAAGGCACATGACAGCCCGCTTGGAGTTTGCCAAAAGGACTCTCAGACCATGAGAAACAAGACTCTCTGGTCTGATGAAACCAAGATTGAACTCTTTGGCCTGAATGCCAAGGATCACGTCTGGAGGATACCTGGCACCATCCTACAGTGAAGTATGGTGGTGGCAGCATCACGCTATGGGGATGTTTTTCAGTGGCAGGGACTGGGAGACTAGTCAGGATCGAGGGAAAGATGAACGGAGAAAGTACAGAGAGATTCTTGATGAAAACCTGCTCCAGAGCACTCAGTACCTCAGACTGGGGTGAAGGTTCACCTTCCAACAGGACAATGACCCTAAGCACACAGCCAAGACAACGCAGGAGTGGCTTCAGGACAAGTCTCTGAATGTCCTTGAGTGGCCCAGCCAGAGCCCGGACTTGAACCTGATCGAACATCTCTGGAGAGACCTGAAAATAGCTGTGCAGCGACGCTCCCCATCCACTCTGACAGAGCTTGAGAGGATCTGCAGAGAAGAATGGGAGAAACTCCCCAAATACAAGTGTGCCAAACTTGTAGCATCATACCCAAGAAGACTTGAGGCTGTAATTGCTGCCAAAGGTGCTTCAACAAAGTACTGGGGAAAGGGTCTGAATACTTAAGTAAATGTGATATCAGTTTTTTATTTATAATACATTTGAAAATATTTCTAAAACCCAGTTTTTGCTTTGTCATTATGGGGTATTGTTTGTAGATTGATGAGGGAAAAAAACATTTTAGAATAAGGTTGTAACGTAACAAAATGTGGAAAAAGTCAAGGGGTCTGAATACTTTCCGAACGCACTGTGTGTGTGTGTGTGTGTGTGTGTGTGTGTGTGTGTATGTATGTATGTATGTATGTATGTATGTACAGTGGGGAAAAAAAGTATTTAGTCAGCCACCAATTGTGCAAGTTCTCCCACTTAAAAAGATGAGAGAGGCCTGTAATTTTCATCATAGGTACACGTCAACTATGACAGACAAAATGAGAAAAAAAATCCAGAAAATCACATTGTAGGATTTTTAATGAATTTATTTGCACATTATGGTGGAAAATAAGTATTTGGTCAATAACAAAAGTTTCTCAATACTTTGTTATATACCCTTTGTTGGCAATGACACAGGTCAAACGTTTTCTGTAAGTCTTCACAAGGTTTTCACACACTGTTTCTGATATTTTGGCCCATTCCTCCATGCAGATCTTCTCTAGAGCAGTGATGTTTTGGGGCTGTCGCTGGGCAACACGGACTTTCAACTCCCTCCAAAGATTTTCTATGGGGTTGACATCTGGAGACTGGCTAGGCCACTCCAGGACCTTGAAATGCTTCTTACGAAGCCACTCCTTCGTTGCCCGGGCGGTGTGTTTGGGATCATTGTCATGCTGAAAGACCCAGCCACGTTTCATCTTCAATGCCCTTGCTGATGGAAGGAGGTTTTCACTCAAAATCTCACGATACATGGCCCCCTTCATTCTTTCCTTTACACGGATCAGTCGTCCTGGTCCCTTTGCAGAAAAACAGCCCCAAAGCATGATGTTTCCACCCCCATGCACAGTTTCCACCCCCACAGTAGGTATGGTGTTCTTTGGATGCAACTCAGCATTCTTTGTCCTCCAAACACGACGAGTTGAGTTTTTACCAAAAAGTTCTATTTTGGTTTCATCTGACCATATGACATTCTCCCAATCCTCTTCTGGATCATCCAAATGCACTCTAGCAAACTTCAGACGGGCCTGGACATGTACTGGCTTAAGCAGGGGGACATGTCTGGCACTGCAGGATTTGAGTCCATGGTGGCGTAGTGTGTTACTGATGGTAGGCTTTGTTACTTTGGTCCCAGCTCTCTGCAGGTCATTCACTAGGTCCCCCCGTGTGGTTCTGGGATTTTTTCTCACCATTCTTGTGATCATTTTGACCCCACGGGGTGAGATCTGGCGTGGAGCCCCAGATCGAGGGAGATTATCAGTGGTCTTGTATGTCTTCCATTTCCAAATAATTGCTCCCACAGTTGATTTATTCAAACCAAGCTGCTTACCTATTGCAGATTCAGTCTTCCCAGCCTGGTGCAGGTCTACAATTTTGTTTCTGGTGTCCTTTGACAGCTCTTTGGTCTTGGCCATAGTGGAGTTTGGAGTGTGACTGTTTGAGGTTGTGGACAGGTGTCTTTTATACTGATAACAAGTTCAAACAGGTGCCATTAATACAGGTAACGAGTGGAGGACAGAGGAGCCTCTTAAAGAAGAAGTTACACGTCTGTGAGAGCCAGAAATCTTGCTTGTATGTAGGTGACCAAATACTTATTTTCCACCATAATTTGCAAATAAATTCATAAAAAATCCT